GGGTGAGAATGTGTTGTTGATCTTTAGGCATAATAAAAGGTCTTTTAGTATTTTGGTCAATGGACAGGCCAAGTAAATTACCTCCATTAGTCTGAAATAGTATTTAATATTCAGGATAAGGAAGCTTGTTTTACTTTTATGATTAGCATATCAGGTGAATAGAGCTTTTCAGACATTGTGATTCCTTTGGTAAGGAAGCTGATGCAAACTAATCTTTTAAAGTGAATAGTCTGCTAGCGCTAGAATTTTTCTTCCATTTCCCTGGTTTTGGTTTCTTTAGGCCTTCTTTAATTGATGCTTGTCTCTTCTTTGATATTATGTGTTGTGCAGGTCTTTCAGCCTTGGATCCAGAAGAGACGAATTACCTATGCAAAGCTCAAGCATGTGATGTCAGGAATCCTAAAGCACCTGAAACAGCGTGCTCTAGGAAGGCTCCTGACTTGTGATGGAGAACCTAATGAGGATGTCATAAAAAAGTCAGTTTTGCAGCTTGACATTGAAGAGAAAGCAATTTCTATATTTATGATTTCTTCTTCGAACAGCTTGATCAAGTACTAAGTTGCTAATTTCCTACTCGACTCTATGACAGGTTGTTTCATACAATTGACGAGAATCATGATGAGCATCTTTCGGCTGGTGAATTAAGAGCACTTATTTTGGGAATCCGGTTTGAGGAGATAGACTTGGATAAGGATGATGCTGTTAATAAAGTTATGAAATATTTTGATACTTCCAATGATCAGCGCATTAGTGAGAGAGAGTTTGTAGATGGTATCTCGAAGTGGCTTAATGAGGCAAAGCAAGTTGTGGGATATAAACGTGATGCTGGTTCCCAAACATTTACACATATACAAAATTTTCAGCTGGTAAGTTGAAAACTGACGGCTTATCTGGAGATATCTACCTCTACCACCTAACATTTTCTATTTCATCTGCAGCAAACTAGGAGAGAGCATCGCCTGTTGGGCGCACATGAGGAACAAAGTGATGAGCTTGTTGAGGGTGTTGAAAATCCTAGGTTGACCTCCTTCAAAGCAGCACGAATGCTGTTGCTAGGAACTCTGATTGCTGTTGCTTTTGCTGATCCCCTGGTCGATGCCGTTGATAATTTTTCAGATGCGACGAGCATCCCAACATTCTTCGTCTCTTTTATTGTATTGCCATTGGCCACCTCTAGCGAAGCTGTATCTGGCATTATTTTTGCTAGTCGTAAGAGGCAGAGGACAACCTCCTTGACATTCTCCTTGGTTTGCTTCTTTAGCTAATTGATTATTTAGTTTGCTTACACTATCCATTATTTGTCAAATGCAGTTAAGTGTTGCCATAAAATCTCATTTCCAACTTTCTTGATGCAGCTTTACGGGGCAGTAACTATGAACAACGTCCTTTGCCTCTCAGTTTTCTTAGCACTGGTTTATGTGAGGGGATTGACATGGGACTTCTCGTCTGAGGTGCTGATAATTCTTATTGTTTGCCTTGTTATGGGAGCCTTTGCCAGTTTCCGCACCACATTCCCTCTATGGACATGTTTAGTGGCTTTTATTCTCTACCCTTTCTCCCTGGCGCTGGTTTGTGTTCTGGATTACGTCTTTGGTTGGTCTTAAACTCATGATTCTTGAACAATTGAACATTAGCTTGGGGAGGTAAGTGAATGTCTAGAACTTTCCGGCTTTTACCACGTATCACCTTTATAATTTCTGCAGATTAAAAAAAAAAAAAAAAAAAA